AGGCCAGAAGAGTTCAAGTTTGCTTGAAGTTTTCATGGTGCCAACCTTGGTATTCAGCCCAGACACCATTTTGGTCAATTCTTCGCGTTGTCCCAGGGCTTTCAGTTTGAGACACAAAAGACAATTTCTACCTGGTGACCTTATTTGTAGCAGATCGACTTACACCTGCCCCCCGACGAACCGGGATCATCCTCCAAGAGGATTGAACCGACAATCCATGGACTCGAGCCAAAAAGCCGCGCGGCGGCTTGGGGGAGACATTTGTTCAAAAAGCGGTGCAGAGGAATGCCGGCGCCCCAAGCGCAGGGTACTGTTGATTGAAACCATGTGGTCCAAAGTGGTTTTATGTATATGTGATAAACATCGCAATGTAGGAATCACAGATGTGCGGCAAAGAGAAGTTGATAAGATAAGACGATGTTCATTGTGCCGCTCATGCTGGCTTACTGGACGTTTCCTTTTTTCAGGCTGCAAAGAGCGGGGCCAACCCAAGTACCCAAGCGAGTCAAGTAATGCAAAAAGCGCAACGATTAGTTTTCATGTTTTTGGTTCGAAGATGTTCGACGCCTCCCATGAGCCCTGCGCCAGGCACATCAGACACGTGCCGGTGTGACCTCCACACGCGCCACACGGCGTGAGAATTTAGGGGAAGTCACGGTCACAGGTATGGCCTCCAACCTAGAAGCGATGGCCTCCAACCGAACGTAGCTTAAGGCATAAAGATGACTGTGACCGTGAGGGCGATTCGAAGGGAAACAAGCCACCTCACTCATGTCAATGTACCTTTACAGGATCCTCATGCAGCTTGGACTTTCATGGAATCGCCAAAATACTGAGTAAAATAAACAAGACTGCCAGTAGGACTGCCATATTGACCTGCCACTTGAGAAACTCATTTATAGGATGAAACATTGAGTACGGGTCAAAACCTGGATCCCTAAAACGGAGCTTGGAGTCAATTCTGTTCTTAGAAGGTGGTCAATTTGAGGTCTACCGTTTTCGACCCACAGCCGATTGTCAACTGCTCCATTTGTACCTTACTATCAGGTATAGGTGGTTGAATTGTTGTTTCAGAATCACATGCAATACTGTCAAATTCTGACCATACAACTCACCTGGGTGGCAATCTTCACTAAAGAGACAGTTATGAGTTGATTTTGAGGTGTTGCACCTTTATTTGAGAATGGGGTTACCCATTCCAAAAGCAGTTACAGCAGCATATAAAAGTGTACCAGTAACCCAACTGATGTGCAAACATCCGAGAACTGCTAGAACATGTTAGCCTTCTTGACTGGATGGATCACATATCAGCACCCAGTCAGACGGACCTGAAACATCGCATATCATGGCTCACGCCCGCCCTGGCCGGTCGAAAACAATTCACATCTCAGGTGGCCAGCCTGAACTTGATAGACCTGGCCGGCTCGGAACGGCAGCAGGCCGCTGGGCTGGGTGGGGCGTGCCTGAAGTCAGAGGGAAGACAAGTACATGAGATGGCCTGGGAACATTGAAAGAAGCATTGTGAGCGAATTTGGAAGGGTACTTGTACAAGTCTCACTTTGGGTATGGACTATGAGAACATCTAAGAACCATGAACCGTCCAGTTGTTCTTGCTTCCAAACATCAGAAGCTCGGTCCAAGGACCTCCACAATAAACTCAGCGAAGTAGGAATGAAGCACCGCTCTTTGGTGCGTCCAAGCGTCGGAAGGGGTCCTGCCATCTCCAGATCTGCACATCTCCTTAATTCTAATAGCTTCTTTGTTACTACTAGTAAGGCACCTCTTACTACTAGCGTGTCACTTGTTACTAGTAGACATCTCCAGAGCATATTGTTGGGGTGTTTGGTGTTTCCTTTTGAAACGATCGAAAGAGATCGAAAACGGCTCCCTGCGCCAGCATGCGGGCGATCCCCGAAGCAGCCTGGTGCAGCCCTACGCACCTGGGCAAAACTCGAGCGAATCAGCTTGCTCCTGTGGGCGGAGTTGGTGGTTGCGAGCTGGGTCAAAACAAGGAGTGAGACGTGGGGAGACCAAAAAAGAGATGTGATTGGGTTTGGGAAGGGAGAGAGAGAGAGAGAGAGAGAAAGAGAGGAACAATCAAATGTGCTTGGGTTTGGACATTGAATCTTTTGTTTAAACGTTTGAGACAGACACAGAACGGCAGTGAATGGGGATGTACATTCATTTAGAATTTCGAAGCTGGTTTGCTATTTGGCAGGAGTTTGATCTGATAGAAACTTTGGTATAACATTGTATAACCATGTATAATCCATAATACGGGTTCAGATTTTAAGCCAATAGTGATTTCGGTTGATGTATTGAGGTTCTGTGTCTTTGCACAGAAACAACATGGCGCATCTTGTACTGACATGGATTAGAAACCCTCCGTGGCCGCCAAAATGCAATTGACTTCGCCCTTGAAACAGGCCACTAGGAGCGATCGGACGCTACGAACTGGGCTCCTGGCATCGCTACGAACGGAGCGAGAAAGGACGCCCATCTGGCCATCGGCCCAGGAAAGCTTGCGCATCAAAGAGGCGGGAGCCATCAACAAGAGCTTGGATGCTTAGATCATCGATCTGTGCTTTGGTGCATAGTGATGGATCGTGATGGATGGTGACACATGGTGGTGTTATTTTTTTGATCATAATATGATGCAATAGTTTTTGATCAGCTGTTCTTCAAGGCCAAGGGTTTGGAGTGCCGACTTACTTTTTCTTTTGACGATTCGATAGAGAAAGGCCATGACAATTTGCCAAGGGAATTTTAAGCGAAATAGACGTGGAAGTTTCCTATTGTCCTATCGGCACGGAAACGACAGCCAATGCATCTATTTGGATTCTTGCTCCAGAAGAGTGTTACCTCTCCGTTCTTGTAAATCATATGTTCGTGTGTATGAACTTCATGAATCCTGCAAATCGGTGACCCCAAGTCATTTAATTACACATTCCTTCCAGGTACTCATTGGAGATCAGGACATTTGTCACGCAGATGTCTTTCAGCCAAAGAGACGATCCGAATCTGAATATGTCCAGTACTAGGCTCCAAAGCTCCAGACTCTCAGCTGTTGATTTGAGACTGATGCTCCATATATGGCCAAAGGCTGTGGATGAATTTGGCTGTGCTTGTGTAGTTCCTGTAGACTAGCCTGGAGCAGGCTTAATTGTAGGGGAGTTCTGTAGTAGCATGTAGCTATATATGATAGCTATAGTATTAGTAGCTATCCAATTACCAATTATATTTGCTCATCAAATCGGTTATCCACCCATGAACAACACCCCTAAGAGGAATCGGTGGAGGCAACTTTTGGACGCCAAACCACTCTTGAGGCCTTTCGGCGTTAACGAATGTCATCATGTCGTTATCCAGAGAGGAGAGGCTGGACATGAAGTGGCAGAGTAGAAGAGACGACCTGACAAACGTCAGGAAGACGACAGTTGGTGCCATTGTGCGGCGGCCAAAACCTGAAAGCCTCCGGCAGCAGAAGTCCGCTGAACGCTGCGCAGTCACGTCTGGCATTGGCCCCGTCACGTCGTCGTTGGATCGTCACGTCGCAGGTCGAAGCGCCGCGACCGTGCACCGGGCCGTGTCTCGGCACAAAGGGCAAACGTGCGAGAGAGGTGCCGAAGAGGCGAAGGAGGGTGGTGACCTTTAGTGACGTTTGCTCCTGGTAAGCGTTTAGGCGTTTTGGCTGGACATGGAGCTTCAAAACAGGGATGGGGAAAAAACACAGAATGTGATTTGTGATGTTGGGCGAATGCTTTAATTTGTCATCATGGTTGCTTGTCCAGCTTTCGGGCATGTAAGGTAGGATAGGTACAGACTTTAAGTATCAAACACGTGGCTGTTTCATGTTGTTTCTTCAGACCCAGCGACCGTACCACGACACTGGTTATAGTACACGTTTGATGTGACCATATACTTGGTCAATTGCTCCTGTAAAACCCTTGAAAGAGCGGTGGTTCAATCAAGGTATAAAACGTGAAGCAGATACATGGCAATCACAATGCAAAAAACATCCACAATGTATCAGACATATACCTTGTTTTTTCTCTACGATTGCAGGACGAACTTGATATCACCATTTATGTGATCATCCGTTTGTCAAGTCCTTCACGATGCTGTCCTGATGGTCGAGGAAAGGTCAACTCAAGCGGGAACACCCAAACATTGAACACGGCAAAACTCTTCAAATTTGTGTGTTCTGTGTCGTGCTGGAGAGTTCCTGGGAAAATCAGCAACTGAAACCGTGCAGACCGTAAAACTGCACTGACTGGAGGAAACCACTTTGTGAACTACCGCGATAGCAAGCTGCCTGCCTGGCGAATTGACGAAGCATGGAGTGAGTGACCTGCATGAGTGACTTGCCGTGGAATTCCGTGACTTGCGCCATTTCTACCGCTGTCTGCCGTCTGCCGTCCTGCCGTGCGGTGACGTCCTGCCAGGACCTTCCTGTTGCGTGATTCACTGGGCGGCAACTCCAAGACCGTCCGGGAGCCCGAGCTGGTCATGGTGCGGTGCAAGGCACAAGAGGCGGTAAGATCTGGAGAGAGGGTTCTTGATGCGTTTTTGTTTGCAACATACTAATAGAATCCAATAAATATACTTGTCTGGGAATCATTGATACCCGGAAGCTTAAAAGCCAGTTGTTTGCAAGATCGGAAACAAGTCTCCCAAGCATTTCGGTTGAGGTGCCATAGAGGTAGGTAGCCCTTCGTGGCAATACAGTCAACCCGTAAGACAGGTGTCAGACAGTAAGAATAGTTGATTGCCGACCCTCAGGGAGGACCCTCTACTGACCCGGAGTTGAACTCACGGCCAAAGAGTGGAGCACGGGTTTGTAATGGTTTGTATGCTTTTGTCTTCCTGGTTCTTCAAAGTGTCCGAGGTCACAAGCAGGCCTGCATAAAAAGGGATAAACTCCCTTGGGGACTCCGAAAAGGTCACTTTAACTTTGAAGAAGCTTGTAGGTTCGGGTTGCACCTGGCGATGGATTCGTCTTCACCCAACCAGATCCAACAGGAATTTGTGGCTCTTCCTTTCGCAATCGACTCGCAATCGATCCAAAACGACTTGGCTCAAGCCATTCGTTGATCCGGTTTTCCGCTGCCACGGGCCGGTGGAGGACGCGGTGCAGGACGCGGGCGGGCTGTGGGGTAAACGGCTTGGTACGGTTCCTCTCTTGGTTTGGATGAATTTGGTGCAAGTGGAATCCAATAGGGGTAGAACCTACAGTAATCTAGAATCCAACTTCGGGATCATTGACAGTTTCAATCATCTAGAATCCAACTGCTTCTCTTGACCTTTGCAAAATCATGGCTAAGACTAAGACCACTTGAAGTATATATTATATATTTGTTACTAGTAGTTCTAGTAGTGATGCCGTTCTTACTATATTAAGTACGGGGTCTTCAACACCTGAAGATCTCACTGAGCGGTCGGTTCCAACTGATCCGTCGACGGACTGGTTCCCGTCAACGTGACATGACCCACCCAGGACTGTCGTCTTGATGTTCTTGGACTCAACATGCTTCTGGTGATAGTAGGCAAATGAACGTTCATAATTATAGTTGATGTATGTACTTCATGTCTTTTTACACATCAAGTTGTATCTCTTCGAAAACCAACGGGGCCATGCGCGGCGCTCTGCAAAGTCGTTGCACTTTCACAGGGCCATGTGGCGCGGATTCGTCTTGCTCTACTCTGTGCTCGGGCCAGCCAGGGAGTCGTTGGTTTTGGAGGGTTGGTGAGGTAGATTGGATGAGATATGGTGTTATAGAGAAGTTGTTTGGGTTGGTCTGGGTCAGCATGTGGTTTGTTTGCACGCGTGAAACATTGTGCGTTTCGGGCACTTTGGGGCTCTTGCTTGTTTCGTTGACTACGGGGAATCCTTGCACGGAAAGTTGGACAACATTTTTGCTTTTCCGCTCGTGTCAGCATTCCTGAATCACTGCGAGCTCATCCACAAAGCCAAAAGGCTCCGAGGGATTGCTTTGCGGATGAAGCATCAGCAACTAAACAGTGGGTTCAACTTGCAGTACCAATACTCCCTTTCAAAAACGTTCATTATCGTTTATGGAAGAGGTACACCCCCTGAAATAATCAGAAGTGGAACACGGCCTTTTGGATGAGCATAGTCCTCTACCTGACAGGTGGTTTCCCGAGTGTAGCCGTTGCAGTCCACGCCAGTCCACGGTCCAGAAGGGTCACGCCTAAAACGGCGGTTTTCAACCACCAGCATGTCCAGCAAAACACGTCAGCAGTCAACAAGGTGATGAAGTTCGTCCATGTGGAGTCCTCCTCTCCCTGATCCCGGTTCTTTCCCTTGAAAACACATTCAACAGATGTGCCTTCTTCGGATTCTTTCCGTTGGGGTGTCCCTCGACTCCTCGTTCCCCATCCGCCAGACAAGACTTGCTGCTCTCGGACGACCAGTGTGCGGGCGATGGCGGAGATGGCTGCGCCCTGAAGGATTGGTTTTGCTGGGGATGGGGTGGATGGATAAGGTCATCAGAGAGACCTTTTTCGGCTGTTGCTTTTTGGCTCACAGAGAATGATAGATACTATGATACTGATACTACTATAATTAGATTAAGTTGGTGGAACCTGCTGCGAAATAGTTTTGGACAATTAGCCAATCAAAAGATTTGTTTGCAAGGACCTTATCGAGACACATGCCCTGGAATGGCACTTCCAAGTAGCCTAAAAAAACATGCATGTTCATTGCTGAATCTTCAACCTTTGACCTTGTAAACATGTGCACATATATATATATAGATTATACATATATAATATATACATTTCCTCGTTGATGGACGAAGTCCGCATCTGATCCCAATTTTACCCATCCCTGATGCTCGATCCGTCGCACTGCGTGGAACTCCACTGGGGAACTCCACTGATCGTGCTGAGCTATTGATCCCGCTTGTTCGAGCTATACTGGCCATAACTGGCCTCCAAGAATTGGACAAAGGAAGACTTGCGCATACCACCACCACATGTTGATTCACGGTATTTTCAGCTTGATCTCTTCTATTTCTGAGGACATGTTGTTAATTGTCTTTGTGTTTGGGGTGTTTGGGCAGCAAAGCGAAGATTGTGTTCTTTTCTTGCCGAGTGAGTTCGCCCATTAGTATGATATATTTGTGTGGCGACACTCTTCTCATGAGATTACACGTACAGTGGTCATGTTGTTTGGTGAAGAACGTTTCAGCACAGCGGCACATTGTTTCATAATCCAACAAACTCGCCACTCTGAGTGGCTCGCATCACCTCTGCAGGGTGTAGGTGGTGCGGAGTAGTCAGACGTACTGCGCATGTGATCTCTGCCACTGCCAGGCGCTTCAGACTCACGCAGCGCTTCAGACTGAGCAAGTCGAATCGGACCAGGCCAGTCGATGAGCAGAGTGAGTTGCTGACTTGTTGCTGGGCGTTGGAGTTTGGAACTTGCTGCAACTCGTCAACAAGCGTCAAACGTGTTGGATTCCAGGGCCCAAGGACCTCATGCAAGGCCTCGTCTCGCCGGCGATTTCGTGGATTCAACAGTTCAAGTCCGCAGCTAGGGCCACCTGTGGCGATCTTGCGTGAATACGTGCCAAATCACACCAGGTCATCACACCAGGAGAGAAGAGATCATGCCATGCGTTTTAGACTTCCGAATTGTCGTGTGATGTGATACTTAGTGACATGTGAGTAGGGAGAGTGCAAGGTGACGATGCGATCTGTAAGGATTTGTGGCGTGATGATGTTTGATGTGGTGCGATGCGTGGTATGTTCTCATTTGGCGCAGTGCCAGGTTGATGTATTTGGTGATGTTTGATGTGTTGTGATTATTGGAAGGGTCATTTAAAGCGTGTTGAAGAGTTCTGATTTTTGATGTGGTGAAGTGTAATATGGGTGCGATATATGCTGATTTGAGGTGTGGTGAAGTATGGTGAAGCGCTCATTGAGGGGTCAGCTACTTGTAGCTCAGCCCTGGCGCGGTAAGTCTATGTAAATTATTCACGGCTTGTTTGAGACCCTCAGTTGAATTCAGCAATATGACTTCGAGCCCAAAGATACCGCCAACTTGACCCAGGACTGGTCTGGCGTTTTGATGCCACCCACATCCTATTCCCACGTGAATTTGAGTTTCTAGGGACATACATATTGTATAGTATTGTATCATATTAAGATGATAATGGCAAGTCTTTGAAGCCTTTCAGCTCTCCTGATGGATGTTCTTCGAAGAGGCATTGTGGTCTCTCCATCAGCTTGTTGAGGCTTCTCCATGTCAGAAGCCACTTTAATTGGCCATCCTTATACATAGTGAGATATAATACGTGTGTAGATGACCTTCATGTAACATGGACATGTACATGCGCATTCTCCCTTTGCTTTTGACTTCTTCTATCCGTAGGTCCGGCCCAAAAGCCGGCTCCAAAACCACCCGACAGGCCGCCCACCCAGAGCAAGTGGAAGGAACGGGGCTCGGCACAGCGCCCACAGACGCGGCCGTGGCGGCCGCGCTGTCCGAAGCCTCCGCACAGACGCGGCTTGGAGGGAGACGGTGCTCTTCTCGGGCGTCCGTGTGGGGCGTGTGGGGCCCCGAAAATTGAAGACTCGAGGGTGTCCGGATGCCCTACAAACATCATGTAGACTCTCGGATTCATAAAGCCTCCCCTGTAAAGCCTCTTATATGGAACTGGGCCCCTCCACTGACAGAGGTCATGGGGATCAAGGTTGGCATGGTGCGAGACAAAGGCGGGAACCCGAAAACACGGGCGTTCTGCCTGTGTTCCACTGTTGTTCCACTGTTCCATCAATTTGGCACTTGATCCTCACAAAAGATGCATGTCTATGCTCCAACAATGCTCATCATCCCTATTTGACTAATTAGGGACCTCCAATCAACTTTCAGCACCAGCAATACTCACTGGGTAGGGAGAATAGCCCAGCCTATGGCCTAGGTTTGCCTAGGTTTTACATGTACCCCAGGGCTGTGATACTCTATTGAAAGGGCTTCATGCCCGGATAAACACACTGACCATCAGAGAAACTCATGACCCATTCTTTCTTCATGTTCGATCTGCTAGAAAGGCTAAGTGACATTAAGAGGCTAAATGTGTTTCTTTTTTGGTACGTTTTCCTCAACTGCACGAGCCTTCTTCTGTTCCGGCAACGGACACCCCGGATCGGCCGCCGGCGGTCCCCCCGAGTCGAGCCGAGCCTGTGTTCGGGACCGGAGCGACGGGCGCCACCGAGGAAGCGGTCCAAACGCAGCTTTCAGCGCTTCGACTGCAACAAGGACTGTCCTTTTTTTGAGACATGCTGGTAGCCAGGGCAGGTGCTCCTTCAGTACTCAATGAGATTGGGAAGACTTCAAATCACAGTCATCAAACCCCAACTCAATCGAAAGATCAACGCATCATCAAAGCTCTGGAACATGTTTTGTTCTTTGCTCAGAAGCCAAGAACCCCACTTGCTTGACCAACAAGTTTGAGAACAGGTCCCAGCGGTCGTTTGCTCGCTTCCGCGTGCATGTTTGGCCCACTTTTGGCGAGACGAACACAGGGAACAGTCCAAACCTTGTTTTCGTTTGAATTCATAGAACACCTGTGAAGAAATTGATTACTTCGCCTGCACCGTCTGTTTAAGAGACCCAAACCCATGTGCCCCACCAGAAAGCAGGGCTCAGGGCGTTCGAAGTCTCGCCGGCACCAGCACCCGCCATCGGCCTCCAAGTCCCACAGCGATCGCCTCCAGGACACGGGTGGCACCTGCTCGTGGTTTGGTTGCTCCAAGTCCCGCAGCGCCGCCGCTGGGTGAGGTTCTTGAGGTTAGAGACGAACCGCGGACCGGGTCATGCATCTAAAGCTTATGTATATATAGTTATTTGATGTTATTTGAAAACACGTGTTTTCCTTTATCCAATGTCTCTTTATCCTAAATAAGCTATTTCTGAGTTTGCAGGAGGTTCTGAACTACTTCAACACCATACGAATCCACCACACAGGTGTTTGGTGGAAGGAGGCCTTCATGATAGAATTAATGATAATATGGTAAATAAGTGATGAGTGATCCAAAATCCTACACCTGGGCACTCACGTTGTCCACACCTGCCAGTTCAACAACAAAACGTTCTCCCGGTTCATGCCAGTCAATTCTTCTTGACTCATTTGCTACACTGATTTGTTTGTGAAGTGTTGTTGGCTTGTTTTCGAGGTGCAGCAAATCTATTCTTCCCACTGAGTGGTGTAATGTTTTTTACCCGTTCTCCTGCACCACTCGGCTGGATAGTGATAAAGTAGCTCTGACAGTGACATTCACGGATTGAAGAAGCTGGGCAACATTTCACTCCACACACACCCGCCAGAGTTTCTTTCCTCCTTGGCAGAGAACAAACATGATCCAATAAATGCGGACTGGTTTGCATATCCACCAGGAACAACTTGGTGAGGCAAAATTTAGTAAACAAAGTGCCAACATGGGTTACCGGGTTGTCAGTGATATTGGACAAAGCAAATCCCTTTTCGGACTAATCCAGAAAATCTATATATACATATATATTAAATATATTATGTATTATATGAAACTCTTTGGTTGAGTACCTTAATGGACAGCAACGGGCCCAGGATTGCAACGATGGCAAATGCACCTGCGGACCAAATCTTTGCATCCTGGAGATGTCAGAAATCTGTGAAGGCAAAGTGTTGTTACCGTCTACGTGTGGAAATTGGTTAAAGGATTCGACCTTTCTTCCAAGAAAAGGCTGAAGAGTGTTGATCCAAGATCGATAACAAGGACCCATTGTAATTAGTAGGAATTGATGGGACAGGTGTATGACATATAACGGTCTATGAGGTGTTGGCACCATTTTCCCTTGCTGTGACAACCTTGGAAGTCTGAGTCATCATTCGTGTTTTTCTCCATGTGTGTCCATGTGATTACTGTATCTAACAACACTCTAAGGAATGCTGACGATGGTCAGAGCCACCCCACTTATACCAGAAAACCCATGGAATTTTCTGCCCAAGTGTCTTTCTGGGTCAGCTCATTTCATCCAAGGTGCTCGCGATGGCAAATGCCAAATCGCAGAGGCCGGGAGATTGCAAATCCGGCCAAATCTGTTAGCAGTAACAAAGGCCTCTTGTCAAGAAGGCACAGGGGAAGAATTGTGCACTTACAATTTTGCAGATTTCCGCTGAAGGTCCAATAATTACCTACCAAGCCTATTGTGCTCAGGGACCAGCACAGCAAATTGAGCCCGCAATACAGCTGTTGGTCGTGGGTTCTCTTTAGACAATACTATATATATAGACAAGTGGCTTGGAAAGATGGGTGGTACTGCCTGAGACCTTGGGCCACGGGCAATCCACAGTTATATTGGAAAGGGGTTTCCATGTTACCAGGTCATGAGCGCATCATGCCTAGGATATGCGAGGGTAATCCTCTCCACTGCCTTTAACAGGTCCGATCTCTTTAGCTTCAGCCGCAAAAAACAGATCTTCTGTCTGATGTGTCTAGTTCCCAGCCCAAACGCCCCACATCCCACCTCGAAAGGGATCCACGACTCCGGATCATTCGGATCGAGCGCTTGCAGGGCTACAGGATGCAAAAGACCACAGCCCCTCGGCCCGGTGGTGACCGGATGCGGCGGTCGACGTTTTGGCCCAGTTCATCTGATCATTTTAGATGGACCAAGCAGGACCAAAGAAACCTGTCTGAGGTATCCAAGGTTCAAGTTTTCTCCACGGCGACAGACTTTTGACTCCTAACTCCGTCACACTAAGCCACTCAAATGGTTTCTATATATAGAGTTATATATATATATATTACACATCTTTGAGTGCAAACCTTTAGCACCTCCATTGGTTCAGATGTTTGTCCATGGCAAGTGGTTTGCCTTGTGGTCCTCAGCATGCGCACACATAGGATCTTCTCAGCACAGGCATGTTTTCAGTGTCTATTCAAGGTGTGTTTCACGCATGGCAGAAGGACACCCATGACTTGAGTTCACCATCATTCCCCACGTTCGGACTTCATCAAGGAGCCGTGTTTGCTTTGGTGAGGGCATACGAGATGCATCGAGATGCATTCACCAGAAACGAACGGCGATCCCGCGATCCCGCCACGGTTTCCGCCAGATGCAAGAGCGCGACACCGGCGGCAGCTGCCGCTTCTTCGCCTGCGATTCCTCCCGAGGGCCCACGCGGTGCGATCGAGGGCAAGGCTACAAGTGCCTCGGGCCACCGAGCCGACGTGTTTCGTTGTGTTTCGTCGAATTTGGGACATTGGCATGTCGTTCTACAGATCAAACGCCATTCACGTCATAGAATGGTTATATAGTCAATTGGGAGGAGGAATCGAATTGAGATGTCATTGTATTGACTTTGACGTCTTTGGCATGGGGGCATGGGTGTTGGCTGCCACGATGAAGGACTGAAGGAATGGACCACCTTCATGGGACCACCTCTTCGGTGGTTCAAGAGGCACCCTACTTCTCGCAAATGGATAGGCTAAACTCACAGTGTTTCTTCACATGCCAAGGGGAAGATCGTAAACATGATGTAAACCCACTGCACATGGTCAATGATGCTCGTCCTCCGCTCGTTTGCGGCTTCCACTATTTGGATGTTTCCTAGTATTTTTCGATGCACAGAGAGGACAATGATCATCGGCGATTGGGGCAAGCATGGCGCTTCCGTCATGTACTTGAGATATGCGCCGCCTGAAGTATTTCTGAATTGATCAAATCCGATAGGGGCCCATTCAAAAGACTTTTGGCATTTGGAAAGCAACAAATTTTTGTACGCCCTTCACGATTTGTAGCATGCCCAGCAAAAAGACGAGGACATATATCATAACTCGTAGGTGTAGATACTACCCTAAGGGGCCATCACATGCGTGAATAGGCAGCATGTGAACAATTGAACTCATTCTTGATCAAATTATATTACGGATTGCGCCGAGACTCTAACTGTGGGCCAACCCTCCAAACATGCACTCCCCATGCGCTCCACAGAAAGCTTCTTTCCTCCCAGCCAACATGAGGTGCATTTGCGCCGAAGGCTTTCTCTCAGTGAAGGGGCAATGCCACACGGCTGGTTCTCGGGGGCCCTGCGCGAAAAGCGGGGCCTGAGGGGAAGTGACTGACTCACCACTTTTGAGCTTCATCGGATGGTATAGGTTCAAGAGACGCCTACTAAACTGTATGACTCCGTATGACCTTTTGATTGCAAGGTTCACAACGGCTGGAGAGTCCTTGTTTGCAAAAAAACAAAAGTGATTAAGATTTAACAGCAATGTTTCTTGCTGTTTTCTGTTTCAACTTATTCTTACAATCTGGTCACTGGTCCATGTCTCCCAAAATGCTTTGCAAAGGCCCTTATTTTCCAGGTTCATTCGAGTCACCACGGGCAGTCCGATATGGCTGCGAAGGACCTGAAAAAGCAGTGTGGCGTATTTAGTCTGAGATTTAGGCCGGTACTAGGGGCACACATGGCCTAAATTCCGGCCGTATTCAGTTCAACCATTTCAGCCCCACCCCTTTTTGGACACCGGACGGCTAAGCTGAACAAAAGAAATTCGTGGGTCCTTATACTATACACTCCACTCACGTTCCATGAAAGTCGTCCATGGAAAGCCAATTTTTCCCGTGGGCTGTGCCATCCCCTAAAAATGTTAAAACCGTTACTTCAAAGAAGTTTTCTAAACTCAAATTATAGCAGTATAAAAACTCAAAAACTATTCACAAGAAATCACAACAGACTACCACATATAACCTCATTCATTTTTCAAAGTCATAACTACTAACCATTTGGTACCTCATTCATTGTTCAAAATCATTACAGTGAATACATAACTATCTCATTCATTCCACAAAATCATCACTACTAACCATCCACTACCTCATTCATTCCTCAAAAATCATAGCTACTAACCATCTATTATTACCTCATCCCTTTTATTGAAATCATAACAGTCAATACATCGTCACCTCATCCATTCCATACTCAAAACAAAACAACCAAGCAACAAACAAAAAAACACCAAGCAAAGAACAACATAAAAACACAAACCAATAGACAACAATATAGCATAACCCCGGTCATAACCCCCCACCTTCCTCACCTTTAATAATCCAATCTTCAAATCCATAATTCTAGTAGCTGTTATTAGAAATATATTAGTAGTAGATGTCTTCAATAACTGTTAACCCAAAATGAAAGGCTTGTATTCCATTATACCATTTTTATCTTGGTCTCCTTCAATAGCGGTTTTTATTTCTTCAACTGCTTTATGTAATACTTCATCTATATTATCTTCATCTACATATTCATCAAAGTCATTCATAAAAGTAAATCTCTCTATAGTTACATTAATGTTTTCCATATTCCTTTTCTCGGAGTTTTGCCACCAATTGAACTTCAATATCAAGTTTAACTCTATAATTTAAATCATCTTCTACTTCTTCATAAATCAAAGACAGTAATTATTCTTGTTCTTCTGTCATTAGGTCTTCTATACTTTTCAAACTAAATGACACTCCCTCTCTCATAATACAGTATTCAATTTTGTATATCTTTTTGCTTGATTTCAAATGTCTTGCCATTTTAGGACCAAGTCTTGAAATCTTATATTTGTTTGTATTGTCTTCAATGCTTCACTATGTTTTATTTTCACCTATTCAGGTTCTCCATGAGTATATGATACCATATTACTCAACACATTTACTGGCAAATCCTTCATACAATCCATCCACTAATATACTTAACTGACTAATCTTTAAGTAAATATTCTAAGGTTAATATAAGGCATTCAAAAAAAACACTACTTAAAGATAGATTAAGTAAATATAATGTACAATATTATGTGATGAAAACAGTTATAGACTCTGTTGAGTAATGATTTAGCAGAAATACCAAAAAGAGGAAGAACATAATTAAAGTCCATAATCATAGGTGAACAAACTCAGATACAACAAAGACAAACCCATATCAAATGTTTTAACAAAGAAATTATTATCAGTAAAGAACACTAATGAATACAGAAGTTATGCTTTAAACAAGGCAAAGGGTGCTTTCAATGAAGGAAGAGTAAGACAAATACTGACCAAACACGCAATCAGAAACAAATATAGGGTCAGAGATGTTCAATCAGCATTTAGAGCATATGCTAATTCAATAGCTTTAGGAAAAAACACATTGAAGGAGAAAGAGGTTTAGAAATGATTGCGCACCAAAAACAAAGACTATTATATAGAGTTTTTAAGACATAATAGAAGCATGAAACTTAACATACGAACAGACGGATTATTTAAAAAACCTGAATATGATGATGGAGGAAATGAAATTTGTAGTCAAGAACTTGTATATGCTTTACCATCATCATATTATCCAATTCATAATGAGGATGAACTGACACAAGCATTAGAAGATAGTGTTAAACAAATCTTACTACAAATACAATATCTTGAAGCATCAACCTCGAATTTAAGGTTTGAACAGATAATATCAGTCACCATTCACTATGACAAATTTGACCCAACAAGAGCAGGCAGTTTTGTAGAATTACCAGAATGGGTTAAGTTAAAAAAGGCATGTATCAACATTAAAAACAATACCAAAAATGCTTCAAATACGGTATTCAATCCATAGTCTTTGACAAAATAAGCAAACATCACCCAGAGGAAATGTTCCACTAGAACAAATTGAATGATGACATGTTGAACTGGGATGGTGTAAAATTTCCAACTGGTAATAGGGACATAGACAGATTGGAAGAAAACAACAAATGAGTTTCAATAAATGTTTTAGAAACTGATGACTGCCTTAATGATAATAAGATTATCATACATAGATGCACTAAAAATATAAATGCTAAATATGAAATGCATTTATTAAAAGTCTATGATGAATATAATAACTATCACTATGCATTAGTGAAAAACAACAGTAGATTATTTAACTGCCAAAGCAATAAACACATAAACAAGAAACACTACTGCCATCATTGCTTAAACCCTTTCTCATGAGAAAAGGCATATAAGAACCATCTTGAAAAGGGATGTATGGCATCAGAAGGACAACAAACAAAGATGCCTGATAAAGAGACTTACATAGAATTTGAACAGCATAATACTAAATTGCCTTGTCCTTTTGTAATATATGGTGATTTTGAATGTCTAACCACTAACTCTAACAATGGTGTAAAAGGCACATATCAGGAACATAAACCGTGCGGTTATATGTTGAATGTAGTAAGCAGGATTGATAATACATGCCAACCATACTTATACAGAGGTGAGGATTGTATGAAGCATTTGTTGAGAAACTGACTGAAAGTAAGAAAGATATTTTTGAAAAAAATAATGTAAATAAACCAATGGATAAATAAACTTACGAACAAAAGTTAAAAGGCAGAATTTAGACAAGCGACCCACTGCTCCATATGTAATAAGGAATTCCAACCTGATGATGAGAAAGTCCGCGACCACTGCCACTTCACAGGTAAATACAGAGGCGCAGCCCATGTAAAATGTACTCTGGATTATTCATTTAGATGTTTTAAAATCCCTATCTTCTTTCATAATCTTAAAAACTATGACGCACACTTGATCATTGCCAGAGCAAATGAACTAAACATAGAACTAAACCAAAACAAAATAATATGGCAGCGCAACGTCAACCTTAATCGTGCAAGTACAACGCTGAAGAGGTTCAAATAGAACTGAAGAACGTACATTTCACACTGAAGTTTCCACGAACAGGGCGACCTGAGAGTAAACGATGTCACGATCATGACAAGCGACTCGTGTATTCCAAGCGAACATCGTTTGTCATGAAGGTGAAGTACACACATACTAACGTCACGATGACTCTTTTGTGGCAGCCACTTATGAGTAAGCAAGGTAGCTAAAATTTGTCAACCTCTCAACAGAGCCGGGTGGCGCGAGAGATGACTCAGCCGCGAGAGATCACTCATCCGCGACTTTATAAAGTTGTACTACAAAGTCGCCAGTTCTCATCTTCCAGCTCCCCACATACTCCGCGTACTAAAGTTGTACTACAAAGTCGCCAGTTCTCAGCTTCCAGCTCCACA